TGTGTGTGTGTGTGTGTGTGTGTGTGTGTACGTGCGTGTGTGTGTGGCTGTGTGTGGCTGTGTGTGGCTGTGTGTGGCTGTGTGTGGCTGTGTGTGGCTCTTACATATGTGGGTGGGAGGGGGGAATTGGTGTGTGGGTGTGAACTGGTGCAACTTCATGATGTTGTTTCAATGAATTCAGGACTTCGACTGGTTGATGGCGGAGTGTTCCAAGCGGCAGATTCGTTTGCTGATTTCGTTTGGCAATAACTGGAGTACAAGACAACTCTACCAAAGCTGGCTACCTGAAAATGAGAGAGGAACCTCGGAAGACGTTTTTTTCACCAACCCCACGGCAAAATCCTGGTTCAAGGGATTCCTTAGCAAGGTCATCACCAGGAACAACACTGTCAATGGCATGGTGAGTCACAGATGAGTTGGAAAAAGCCTCCCTTCGTCTTTCTCCTGCCATTGTTCCCCTCCTCCGAGTCCGTTCTCTTACAGACTTTGCAGAGCTCCCAACTCTCATGTCATCTCGTAACTGCACTGACTCGCAAATATTTTCTTTCTGCTCATCTGATTGCATCTGGATTCGAAATTGGGTCTGATTCATATTTCCACAGTTCATTTGGGTGTCCACCAACGCAGCTACCGACAAAAGACCCCTGAGGAGGCTGGTAGGCGGCCAGCCGAAACCGGTCGGGTCCACACGCCTGTCGTGCCGAGCGTTCTTTTCGAGCTTCATGTTGAACTTTAACGCCGCGTTCGGGATTTTGTTGCTTATCTTGCGTGTCGACTGGTCTTTCTTTTTCGTCATTTTCTATGCTATCCCACTACAGTCTACTACTGCGTCCCCCGGTCGTTGTCTTTCTTTATGAGTGAATGTCCTGCTGAAGTTTAACCAACTACTACTACTACCATTGGTGTGACTGCGCTGACTCTGGATTCAGCATGGTGTGCAGAATGTGCACTGTTTTTTTTTTGTTTTTTTGTTTTTTTTTGTTTTTTTGTTTTTTTTTAAAGATACGAAACCAATAGCCCTAATTGAGCTGTTGCTGGTAAAAACGGGTCCAGCGTCCCTTCCTTTCACTGGTCTACCCTCATCTTCCAAAATCCCTTGAAGCTCAAAGTAATTCCATGCAGAGACAAGGAACCGTCCTACTCGGTGCTAGAGTTCAGTCTGTGCCACCTAGCAGATCATTGCAGTGCCGCTCATCTCATCGATAGTAAACTACTATCGAACCATGCTCAGTTGCCTTGATCCGCAGTGTTACTTCCCGCCAGGATCCAAATAAATGGCTAAACCTTAACCTAAAACTAGCCTTTTTTTTTCTTTTTTTTTTTACCGACTGAGCTATTTTTCTTTTAAACAAATGCTCCAGTCTATTCGTGGGGAGCAGCACGTGCTGGGACCCGGGCCCAGCGTCCTATAGGCTCAATAACTAGGGGCTGGGAAGGAAGAATAAGCATTAGGGTTACCCTCTCATCATCACTATCCAGAACACTGTAAAGAGCGTTTGTTGCCTAGACGGGTTTCCCACCATGCACCCCAATGGATACAACTCTAGTTTGCTCTTCACCGGGTCTCTCATATCGTCCAAATCCCGTGAGTTTCACCCTAAACCACTGCAAACATACCAACATCAAAACCAATATAAGCCAAATTCCTACGCACCCACAATATTATAACCCATTTCTATGTCCAAACTGTTTACTTTTTTTTTTTTTTTTTTTTTTTTTTTTCACATTACGTGTTTCTAAATGCGAAACACTAAAGGCGATGCATGTAACAGAACTGAAAGGAACAATACAAATTTCACTTCCCACGAAATTCAGAAAACAACAACATACCGAAGGATAGCGTTGCCCTAAACTACGGCTGAAAGACAGCAGCACAGAAATTCTAGTAGCCTAGAAAACAACTAGAAAACTAGGTCAAAGTTTACTACAGAAATCCATAGTGAATATAGCCACGAATATAGATAACTCCACCCTTCGCGAACTCCAAACAGATAACAACAAGTCCGTCAACAGTGTCAAGGCTGCCCTCTCATCATCACCACCGTCCAAAACACTGTAAGGAGCCTGAGTTGCCGAGACGGGTTTCCCACCACGCACCCAGTGGATACAACTCAAGTTTGCTCTTTACCGGGTCTCCTTTTTTTTTTTTTTTTTTTTTTTTTTTTTTTTTTTTTTGAACAAAGCTCCAATCTATTCGTGGGGAGCAACACGTGCTGGGAACTGGGCCCAGCGTCCCATATAGAAAATTACATAGGTTTTTGAAAAAAATTGAGAATTTGCAGTACCGGGTCTCTCTTACCACCAAACCAGTAAAGTTCCCACTGCCTCTTGTCGCACTCTCACTGCTCCTCGAGGCACTGCCACTGGTAGTCCCGTGAGTTTAACCCTAAACCACTGCAAAGTTGTGCAAACATTTGAACCTCAAAACCAATATAAACCAAAATCCTACACACCCACAATACTATAGCCCATTACTATGTCCGAACTGTTTACCTTACGTATTTCTCAATACAAAACACTAAAGGCGATGCATGTAGCAGAACCGAAAGGAACAATACGAGTTTCATTTCTCACGGAATTAAGGAAACAACAACATACCAAGGAATGGCGGTACCCTAAAATATGACTAAAAGACAGCAGCGCCGAGCAAGCTCTCCCACTGCTTCAACCGATGCTGCTGCCAACCTTCATATAGTTGATCACAAAAGTTGATGTGTCCACCTTGGAGAGTCGTCTGAGCAGAGGTGAAGGATGGAATCATCAGTACAGCCAAATGTAGAGTGTATCAGGATGTATCCTTGGCAGTGTCGGCAGCACTCCCACCGCCATCGCAAGCCCTCCCACTGCTTCCGCTGACGCTGGCTGCCAACCTGGAATGAAGAGGTGAGTGGAAGTGAACCACACTCATCTTGGGTGGTGAGAAAGGAGCCCCCCCTTTCGAGCTTGAGGCTTGAGGGGAGGACGGCTCCTCTGGTGTCGGGATCTCATCAGGTACGAGGGTTTCGTATGGTATGAAGGTCCGAAGGTCCGTTACAGGGCTTCCAGGATGCCCTGGTGTAAGAGCACAAAGGCACTCCCTATCCCACTCAAGGGCTAGGCTACACCAAGACACTGCCCGCCATGGCTCTCACACAGCTGTGGTGCCTGGCAGGGTAGGCGCATCGTGGGAGGATCAACGTCGATATGCTCAGACGCTGCGCTCTACTCAGCCTCCACCGCCGCTGTTGCCATTTCAACGTTAACGCACTTTTTCACGCGGCTCCTGCTGACCTGTTTTCCTCTTGTTTGTTTTTCCCTTTTGAACATCAGCTACTAGATGTTGTGGGAAAAGAAAAGTCAGTTTTTAAGCTTTTCAATATGAGTGAGTGAGAGGACGATGCATGGAGGTGGTATGAGCAGAAGTGGGCTCTGCATCCCTGGCAGACAACAGACAACAGACAACAGACAACAGACAACAGACAACAGACTACAGACAACAGGACAGGATGAAGCTTAAAAACCTTCTGAGGACGGCATAGATTGCCTGTGAGCACAGGGATTAGATGCCTCTCTTCTATTTCTTTACCAGACTGCCCCTCTCCGGAACTGGTCACATTACTGTCGGCCTCCTCAGTGTTGTTCAGGCTGCCGAGGTAAGGGCAGGTAGGTAGCTGGACCCTGGATGCTCACCTGAAACTCCTGTGATTGTTGCTGCGATTCTGTTGAGATTCTGTTGTGCTGCTGTAAGTGCCGCTTTTCTGTGAGTCTGCTCTGCTGCTGTGCGCGGCTCGCGCACATCGTAGCCATCTTGGCCACATTCTCCGAAAATGGTACCCTGGTGACCTGTTCTGATCTTCCATACTGCTCCCTGGCTGGACATCTTCTGCATGGGATGGCAGAGGGCAGAAGGT